CCTGCACCGGGGTTTCCTCTGCTACAGGAAACTCTCCCGTGCAATGCTCTGCAACTTGACGGGGATAATTCTGGTGCCGAAGCACACACACAATCATGCCTTTTGGGTCATGACAAGAAGATGACATTAAACCAGAAGAGATACTACATATAACTGACTCTCTTAAAAATGGTAAATCTCCAGGCCTGACTATGTTCCCTTTGAAGTTTTAAAACTGTTTTTAGAGCAGAATTAGTGTGCCCATTATCAGAAGTTTTTAATTAGATGCTGAAGGAGAAAAAAATTCCTGATACCCAGAGGAGACAGTGTTAATCCCAACATTTGAGCAAGGATCTAACTGTTTTGCCGTGCATACACTTATATCTTTATTAAGTCAAGACGTGAAATGCTAGGGCAGGATGAGCTACATCTCTCCCCGAAAGGTAAGCATGTTTTCCAGGTTGGCTGATCTCCTACGGTGAGCTTTAAACTAGGTTTATTGTGGGATGGGGATGCAGAGGTACAGGAGGACACTTTGACGTCAAGTCAGGTGACATGAGCAGGAACAACCCAGGTAAGTGACAAGGGCCCAGGCAAGCTTGGGAACATGAGGGCAGGACGAACAACTATAGGAGGTCTCAATTGCCTCTACACAAATGCTAGAAGTATGGGGAATAAGCAGGAGGAACTCACCCTCCTGCTAGCTAGCAAAAACCCAGACCTGGTTGGGCTTACAGAAACTTGGTGGGATTCTACCCACGACTGGGCAGTAGACACCAAGGGCTATGGTTGTATAGATGAGATAGAGTAGGGAGAAAAGGGGGGCGGGGTGTAGCGCTCTATGTTAAAGAACAGTACATGTCCTCAATGATCAGGATAGGTTCAGGAGACGGGCAAACCGAGGCGCTCTGGGTTAGAATGCAAGGGGGTCGTGGGGAAAGGGACTTGACAGTGGGGGTTTACTACAGCCCGCCTCACCAGGGGGACGAGCTGGACCTGGAATTCTCAGGTCAGCTTACGGAGGCTGTAAAGACAAGGGATGTGGTTGTCATGGGTGACCTAAACTACC